TGTTTTCCCAGTTACAGTTTTATTATAATCCAGACTCACTGACAGTGAAATCATTTGAGTTCTGTAGATGTAAACAAATGCTGCCTTCCTGCAGTGGTTGAATTTATCTCATGTGTTCAGAATTTCACCTTTAATTCGTCGTCATCACTGCTGTTGCTGACTTTGCACGCACAAACTTAGTTTCTTAGTTTCTTTGATATACTTTGTGTTAAATTCTCTGCTAGGTTCAGTCGTCTGTGGCTGTGGGGACCCCGGACTACATCTCTCCAGAAATCCTCCAGGCTATGGAGGATGGGAAAGGCAAATATGGCCCAGAGTGTGACTGGTGGTCCCTGGGGGTCTGCATGTATGAGATGCTGTACGGCGAGACTCCTTTCTATGCAGAATCCTTGGTGGAAACCTACGGGAAGATCATGAACCACAAGGTGGGCTGACGAGATTAAAAGGTGTAACGGTAAAACTTGCCTGAAATTTGCCCAGTTTGACCAGTAAACACTGTTAAATGTGATCATGTCCTGAACAGGAGAGATTCCAGTTCCCACAGCAGATCACAGATGTTTCCGAGGAAGCGAAAGATCTGATTCGCCGACTCATTTGCAGCCGAGAGCACCGATTGGGTCAGAATGGCATCGAGGACTTCAAGCAGCACCCCTTCTTCGCAGGTACAGGCTCCGCCTTTCTGTCGCACACAAAGATGACCTGAAACCTCATCGGCATCACGTTTACCGTTCGCTGTATGCTGCTTAATAAATGCATCTCCTTGTTTTTCACCTTTTAAGGCATCGATTGGGATAACATCCGCATGTGTGAAGCCCCCTACATCCCCGAGGTCAGCAGTCCGACAGACACCTCCAACTTCGATGTGGACGACGACTGTCTCAAGAACTCGGTACGTTTAGAGGAGCGAGCGTCATCCTCTCACGATGTTGTCTGACTGGACGTATTTGATGTGCAGATTCACATGATTTCAAATCCTTTTCAGGAGACTATGCCCCCTCCCTCTCACACGGCTTTCTCAGGCCACCACCTGCCCTTTGTAGGTTTCACCTACACAAGTAAATGGTAAGTGTTAACAAACAGCTGTTTCTGCCTAACAACCGAATCTTACTACCGCTGGATTTCCTGTCTGTGTCTTTGCTGATCATTGTTAACCCTTTGAA